GTTGCCAAATCTAGAGTCGCTTCTGTCAAGCAAAGGAAGACAATTCCTAAACTCGAGCTCTGTGGAGCAGTTCTATTGGCTCGTCTTTTGGAACATGTTTGCAAGGTTTTGCAACATAAAATAAACATCACTTCAGTCACAGCATGGTGCGACTCTAGCATAGTGCTAACATGGTTGCGAACATCGCCTCACAAGCTTCAGACGTTCGAAGGGAATAGAGTTTCGCAGGTTCAAGGTATTCTTCCAAAGGCTACCTGGCGATACGTTCCATCCGTTTTCAATCCAGCCGACTGCGCGAGCCGAGGCTTGCTCCCTCGCGAGTTGTTAAATCATTCACTTTGGTGGAGTCCTTCTTGGCTCAAATCTAATCCCGATTCATGGCCTTCTTCATGTCAATTTCTCGATCTTGACGATTTGCCAGGTGTCAAATCAGCTGCAGTTGCTGCACATGTGGTGCAAACTGTCGAGACTACACATCACTCTGACTCTACATTGCTCTTTACCCCTCCAGTTTCTTCGCTTATCGTGCGGACTGTCGAGGAGGCATCTCATATAAAAGGCTCTACATCGACTGTTGCAATTTCATCTCACGAAGTTGTTCAACATGTCATTAAAAGATATAGCTCTCTATCTAAACTATTACGTATTTTAGGTTGGTGGCTACGCTATAGTTATAACTTACGTACACCAAAAGATAAACGATCAGGTTCTTTATCATTGTCGGAACTAAAATCAACATTGTTAATTTGCATCAAATCGGTTCAATCTTCCGCGTTTGCCGATACAATCAAATTGTTACAGCAACGTAGGCCTGTCAAGGGCAGTCTCTGCCGGCTTCATCCATTTCTCGACGAGTTTGGCTTCCTTCGTGTTGGAGGGAGGCTAGTCAATGCCGACTTACCTTACAACAGCAAGCATCCGATTTTGTTACCTCAGTCTCATCACTTAACGGATCTCCTTATCGATCATTACCATCAACTCTATGGCCACCCTGGTCCGTCCACTCTCATGGCGATCCTGTCTCACAGATACTGGATCATATCAGCTAGACGTACAGTTCGTCATAGGATTTTCAAATGTCAGCGTTGTTATAGGTTAAAGGCAAGGCCTGTTAACCCGTTCATGGGTAATTTACCTGCTAGCAGAGTTACTCAAGCAAGACCTTTCCAACGAGTTGGATTAGACTTCGCCGGCCCATTCATCGTTAAGGATTCTCACGCTCGAAAGCCGAAAACTTTTAAGGCATATTTGTGTGTTTTCATTTGTTTCACCACTAAGGCGATGCACTTAGAGGTAGTTTCTAATTTAACAACTGACGCCTTTTTGGCTTGCTTAGATCGATTCGTGTCGAGGAGAGGATTACCATCTGACATATTCTCTGATTGTGGTACCAATTTCTTAGGCGCCCGTAACTATTTAAAAGATATATACGCACTTAAAACGCAATTAGATAAAAACAGCGAAAAAATTCAATCTTATCTGGCACCTCGCGAAATTTATTGGCATTTAAACGTTCCCTCAGGACCACATCTTGGTGGTATTTGGGAAAATGCAGTGAAATCATCTAAGACATTACTTAAACGAATAATCGGTGAACGTGTACTAACGTTTGAAGAACTTAGTACCGTGTTTTGCAAAATTGAATCGATACTCAACTCACGACCGATTTGTCCGCTTAGTAGCGATCCAAATGATCTTGAGGCTCTTACGCCTGGACATTTTTTGATTGGGCAACCGCTTCTCGGTTTGCCAGAGCATAATCTGGAGCAAATTTCTGCTAATCGTCTTAATCGTTGGCAATTGTTGCAACAAATAACGCAACATTTTTGGAAACGCTGGCACACCGAATATTTACATACATTGCAACAGCGTGATCGTTGGCTTAAAACTGATCGTAATTTACAAATCGGGGATTTAGTTTTGGTAGCGGAATCTCATATACCGCCGTTACAATGGCGAAAGGCTCGTGTGACAAGACTCTACCCGGGTAATGATAGCATTGTTCGAGTCGTAGAGCTTAATACTTCTACTGGAGTCTTGTTGCGTCCTGTGGCTAAATTATGTCGCTTATTACCAGAACCTTAAATTAGCACGAAAGCAGCGATCTCTAGATTTAAGTTTCGTTTAATCATAGTTTTATTATTCTTTGTTCAACAATTACTTTACCAAAGTAGCATACATTTAGTGTACTCATCCTTGCTCTTTATTTGAAAGAGCTGAACCGCTCTTTGGGGGGCGGTATGGTAGATTTTAAGGTTTAGGTTTTACCTATTCGATACAATCGTGTCCCATCACTCGTGATACCTTCCTACCTCCATGCCTTTTTATTATCTGAAGTCCTTGGGGGTAATCCGAGAATATCGTAAACTCACTTCCGCAATCGCAGCCGGGTCGAGCAGACGTAGCTCCCAATATATAAAAGCTGAGAAGTCAAGTATCACGGCGATCGACGCGTTTGTCTCGCGAACAAGTGATATAGAGTGTGGTGCACCACTAGGAAATAAGACGCGCGTCCAGAACATCGAGCACGCTGGGACGTAGTGAACCAGGTACGCCCCCATCCTTTTCCTTGTGATTCGTTATATTGATATTATCTAAGTTATGGTAAAAGGAAGCGCGTATCTATATAAAATGAAGTTGCTTCCCGCTGTGTGGCTTTCATCATATACAAATTGATTCAAGAGAAAGTTTTATATGTATATACAGAACCACGCGGGCGAATCCGCTGGCGGAAAGCTAGTTATTTATAAGATATTATAACAACATTATCTGAGTTTTGATAATAGGTTTTTTAAGAAATTGCGATTAAACTTTGCTTAGTCCTATATATATTGTATTTGAGGTTTTTATTAATAAAGTGTGCCGATTTTAAGTTTCGAATGATAACTTGCTGAGTTAGGATAAAAAAACATAACAATTAATAATGTTCACAGTTTTATGCGTATTCTGTGCGAAATTCATCGCATCACGCGTTATGTGTGACGCACGAAATTTTCCGTCCAAATCGTGACCACTGACATTTCGGAGAAGTTTTTTTTAAAGCAGCGTTTGAGGTCGATCCTTTGTGCTATTTCAGGAAAAGCTGGACGCGAGCCAACAAGCTTACGGACTTTCGGCGCAGTACATTGAACACATGGCCGTTATCCCTACGTTAACTCTTTTGAATTATGAACTTTCTATGTTACTCTATAAGGTTTCGAATTCTCTCAAATGGGATTCTCCAAAATTATTTAAGTTTCCCGTATGATTTTTCTTTGTTCAGTCAAAATAAATATGGGAACATTGCCACTGTATGAAATGTTTTTCCAGCCGTCCTCTTGTCTGCCAATAAATCTCAATGTTAAGGTCTTGCAGTGTTAGGTAGATGAATAAATGAGAATTTAGTAACCTTACATTGATACTATTTATATATGTATAAATATTATTTTATTTTATTTTCAAAGGTGAATCAACAGTTACATTATATTAATTTAAAAAAAATATATATAAGAATCAGAGAACCAATTATAGACTCGCACATTTAGATACAAACCAATGTAAGCACTATGTTAATCAAACAAGTACATATATTAAATAAATAAAAGAAAAAGACGTATTAAAATACATACGTCTTCCACTTTCTTTGTGTATTTTCAAAAGAGTGACAATGAATCAAATATGCCCTTTGAACATGAATCCCTCAGAATGCTTATTTTGATTGATGGCACGGTAAGAACCTCGTGTAATATCATTTAATTACCATTCTTGTAATATTATTGATAGAGATATAATAGATAGAGAGACGTATAGTGGGAAGGCCATGCACATACATACAGGCACGTATTCATATGATGAATTAATTATTATAATGATAATAGAGCGCCTTTAATTTTTCTCATATGTCAAATCTCTCCACTTGGTAAAGTCTTAATACATTGAGGATAGAATATCAAAACTTGAAAATTTGATGTATAGTAGTATCCCATTCCCGGGCATCCGTGTGTACCCTGATGTTTCTCGTATGTGTAATGTGGAAAATATTAACGTAATGTAAGAGCGCTTCTTACAAATTACGTCACAATTGCAATTGCTGCCGCAATCGAAACTATATATGAATTTACTTTTACTTCGGCCAACCGACAAATGTTATTACGATATATTTTAAATACGAGCAGAGAGAAGTTTGCGATACCGATAAAATCTGTTTGTAATTAGTTACATTTATAGTGCTGGTGCATGAAGTTTTATTTTTGTAAGATTGACCAAAGGAAATGCCGAGGAAGTGTCGAGAACTACATGGGTGTTGAGTAATGAGGACGTATTTTAAGAAAAAAAGCACTATGAATGCGCCTCAATAGATGGCGACTCTACCAAAAGTTGATTTTTGCAGGAAACGAATGGACCAAAGATAGGCATTTCCGTTTTTTTTTTGATTAATTAAAAAAACTGAAATTTGCAAAGTTCGAAACTTAGATATCAATACAAATACGAAAAAGCACAAATAGAATATGAGTTGTTTATTGGGTTTTGAAAATTAATTTACTTTTATGAACGAAAGAAAACTAGAAGTGTTGTCATTGAGAAATCAAGAAAGTACCGTAGCGACATCTAGTTTGACTTTGGGAACTAATGTTTTTTTAATATTTCCTCATTGTGACGTCAAACGCAGCATTACCAAGACTCATGTTGCTGTCTCTAGTATTGGAGTAATTTTTGAATAGATAGATATAAACCAATTAAAATGAAGTAGCCATAAAATATGTACGAGTATTTTAAACTTTTTCCAGCTTATTTGCTGTATAATGTAGATCTTCAATCATAACACAAGAAGTAGTTCAGAGTAGGTACTATTATTCTTCTAAATAGTTTCAATGAATTTGCGTTCAAGATCAGTGCTAATTAAAATTCTCTTTCAGTTTGGCATGAGCTTACGAAAACGATTATAAAGAGATGATTATATAGAAACAATATATTTGTATAAGCGGTATATTTGTAAACTGAGATAAATAAAACGAATAATCACAATGAACATTAGTTTATTGGGGTCAAGTGGGCGCAGGCTCGACGCGCTGTTGCGCTAGTTGCGCTGCAGCGCAGCAGTGCAGCATCAGCGCGGTTAAAGCGCAAGCGCGCGCCTCCCCGCCATCCGCATTCGCGGCGACGCCTTGGGCGTCATCCGTTGACAATTCTTCACGGACTGCTTGTAGCTATAAAACATAAACTAATGTACTAATGTAAGGAAGTGCAATATTCAGTAATTACTCAATTTACCGTGAAGGCAACACCTATTCAAATAACTCTACTTTCAAAATTTCTCGCTAATATGGTAAATGACACAAATATTAAATGGTTGGTGTGAAACTTAATTGAAGTGAAGTTAACATGTAGGTAAAAAAGAGTTTTATTTGTAGTTATATTCCAAACTCATTATTATTCCAAATATTGGACTCTTTAATTCTTTTATTCAACTTTTGATATATGTACATTTTTTTATGGGATAGGCGGCAGACGAGCAGACGGATCACCTGATGGTAAGTAATTACCGTCATCCATGGACACCTGCAACACCAGGGGGTCTACAAGCGCGCTGCCGGCCTTTGAGGTACGAATATGATCATAGGGAGGGAAGGATTGAGGGGAATAGGGAGGGGTTGGGCCTCCGGTACCCTCACTCACACGACGAAACACAACACAAGCGTTGCTTCACGTCGGTTTTGTGTGAGGCGGTGGTATCACTCCGGTCAAGCCGGCCCATTAAAAAAGCCCTTCGTTTGGAAATCTGTTACATCTGTACATTAAGCAAATGCAAAGTAAAATCGAAAGATTACATTTATTTGCAACCTTATTTTTAGTGCCACGCGAATCATATAATGCATTACAGTTATTAAGATCAGATTACAAGCGATGTCCAGGCTAATGAACTTATTTTCCACCATGTGTACAGCACAATAAGGCATTGACATTACCATCACTAATTTGCTGTGCGCGTCCAATTGTAATCCGATACATGGGGGCATTGGCTGCTGTATGAAAAAGGGCATGAAAAGTTCCTTCGTTTGTTCGGATTAGTTCCTTCGCTTTTTGATAAATGATAACCCTATTTTTTACGTGTCAAGCCAGAGAGCAAAATCGGATCAAGAGCGTTATTACAGATTAGACCTTCTATATCAATAGGTTGTGAGTGTGAATAGGTGTGATATAAGAACCGAAATAGTTTCATACATATAACGATATGAGAAACGATAGCATTTCAGTAGAACTATTTGACTGAATATGAGTAGTTCAAATATTGCTTAGCGTCAAGCAAAGAATGAGTATCATATCGGCTCATCTAACCAACAGCTTGTTGTTTGATGATGAAAAAATGCCGAATAAATCTAAAGCTGTTGTTATGAATCCTAATTAGTAGTGCATTAATCTTTTTCATGTTGATTCTGAATTAGAGCTAGCACCCCAAGATGCAGACTTGCCTAGTTTGAGGATCTCTTGGAAATATTTGCTATTTAAAAATATAAAATGCACCAAATTGGTATCTTACTTGGGAAGTCTCACATGTAACGTTTTGTGTGTGAAATCGTCACCAGATTATTAATGTCCCCATTGTGGCACAGGCCTTCACTAGGAATGTAATCATTACAGTTAGAACAGGCCATGACAGACTACACGGGTCCTGCGGGTTAGTGGGTGTTAACGACTTTATATATAGCTAGGAGCAAAGGCTTAACTTGGCTAATATTCAGATAGAAAATACTTGGACACCCATCATATGACCGGCCTTTGCTAAAGTTGCTTAACCTCCACATCGCAGATCAAATACACAAACTACTGCACTATCGTACTTTTATTCCGGTGTGTACATTATTTAATTAGACAAAATCACATAAATTGCACAGATTTCAAGATGAGTAGCTACGCTACAGTACAATAATCATATAAGAGACAATATAGAAAAATTCATTTTCTACATTGGTCCGACCGGGAATTAAGCAATATTCTTAAGGGTCAGTCACGAGATGAGTGACAAAAAAATTATTGTTTCGAACTACTCCGTCTTTCGGAAGCTACGTTAAGCAGTTGATCCCGGCTACATTTTGTAGTACTGGGCCCTCGTGGTGGGAATGGCCCGTTCTCCCTATTCGATTCGATTCTATACTAAAATGAGGCCTGAGTTCCTGCAGTGGGAACGTAAAGGGGCTGATTATGATGAAGACGACATTATATTACTGTCCCCACTTCTGGAGCTCGCGCCTTACCTTATTATCAGAGGTCGGAATTAGGTAGAGTTATTTATGTACTTGCATCGAAATGTTGATATTAATGTGGAACTTCCCGGGATTTCTTTATTTCTTCTTTCTTTATTTCTTTCTTTCATTGATGTAAGTTTGGCAACGTCGTGCGTGCAGTAGTTTAAATTGTGTAAAAGTAAATTACTTTTTATTAAAAAAATCACGGGATTTTTCTGCTCTTTAAAATTAATCTCGGGATTTGAGGCATATCCACTTTATTCTTTCGCTGTATGAAATCAGTGTAAGTACATGAATAACTCTACTTAATTCCGACCACTGTTTATTATAGAATCGAATTGATTATCGAGAACCACGAGGGCCCGAGGTGTATATTAACGACTGCATATGCAGCCGGAGCCGACTACTCAATGTGCCTTCCCTGCTCAAGTTGCCTCCTTTGGGGCTCGAGATAACAAATCGGTCAGCTGTAAATATTAAACTAAGCGTAGTTACGACATTAACCATCTCGTGTATCTGGTGTGCGGTCAGTTTGGCGGCTAGTTCAGGGGCGGAGTCGCGCGCGGCCGCCAGCAGCGCGTCCGGCGGCAGCGCGCTGCGCAGGGCCGGCTGCAGCATGGCGGTCACGTCGCCCCTCTGCAGCCAGCTCGCCCCGCAACCGCCGAACGGGTTCCCCACAGGCTCCAGAGATTGCTTCCTTTGCGTTAGAAGGACTGATCGTACAAAACGGTCCGCTGTCGGTCTTATCGTCAACAATTTTATCTACTTTAGGGTGCTAGTTCTACATTATAGATTACTTAGTACTTTTCAAATTACAAATACACAAGAAATTAAATTGCGAAGCCCTCTATGAATAAATGAGACAAACGACGCCGCGTGTTACGCGAAATAAGGCGTCCAAAACAATTTTAATGAATTAAGCGCCATTTAATTATTAAAAAATTGTGTTAGCACCTCTTTCTTTTTGTAACTATAGAATGCGTATAGGTATGTAATTTTCACTATAAAAGATCATTGCGAAAAGATATGGAACAGTTTTGAATTTTGCAGGTACACGTAACTGTGTGATTTTCGCTGAGAAATTTTCATGAGCATTATCGATGCTTATACTTAAACAAACAGAGCATCCACCTTCAAACATGGTTACTATTCCTTTGATAATGTTTGTAATGTGTTGTACTTATAAAATGGAAATATGTATAAATAAACATGTCTATAAAAGGTTTTTTGTTGTGTACCTGGGCGTATGACTTGGTGATGGCGGTAGCGAGCGTGACGATGAGCACGTCCGCGGTGCGGATAGCGAGTGAGCGGAGCCCGCACGTCGCAGACCAGCAACTAGCGCGCTCATGGTCCCGCCGCCTTGCGAACAACGCTCATTCAATGCTATATATTTATTTTATTTATTTATCGACCGTCTATTTTTACAGGTGATACCCAGTACAACAGAGTAACTCAATAAAAAAAAAATCTATGACAGATGACATATAATGGCTACTTTTATGAATTCATACAGCGAACATGAGAAAAAGTTGATTTTCTCGGTTATATGGTTGAGGGTGCGCAGTGCACACGCCAACGGGTTCTTGGTGATTAAGTTTGTCCAACCTCTAGGCACTACCAGCAGAAGCGGTCGACGCCGCAGCTTAACATATCTGTCTGGGACACTAAACTATATCATACAATAGTCGTTATAAGATATAAATATATATACATAGCTTGCAGGCTGTTAGCTTGCTGTATTACGCGTGGTCAGTTACTATTTACACAGGTTCAGTAACGTCCTTACTGTTCAATTTACACTAGGTCAGCACTGACTTTCTTCCAATTTGAAGACATTTTTGCTGACTTCGTTTAAGCACGGGTTTAAGGATCGTTTGCTTAAAATAGTTATCCCAGGATTAAATGGGTCATAGCACGGGCAGATGACGAGTGGTTTCAAACGTTGTGCGGTATTTAGCAATTTATGATTATTCTCAGTGTAAGTAAATATAGGTAAATGAAGGTTTTCCTTTTACAATTTATTTATGGGGCGGGTTTTAATAGGCCAGCGACTCTACCGATTAACTGAAGCCCCCATTTATCTTTCATGATGTCATATGTCCTGAATTTCTGTCATGCCGACATATCAGACCAGTATTACAGTTATGCAGCAAAGCTGCAGGTGCTCTAAATCTCAAAATAGGCCATTGTTTAACGCGATATTTATCTAATTGTTATTATAGAGGCTAATGTTATCTAAAATGACGAGTAGAAATAGATACTTATACGTTCTGTACCAGATAAAATTTGCATCAAAAATACATGTGAAGTTAAGTCAAACTATGGGAGAATTACGTTATTTTAATTTCAATATTAAAAAAATAATATCAATTAAGGAATCACATTTAAAAAGCATTTTGAATACAGGGTACAGTTTTAATTTTTTTATAAGATGTTGAAAATATTTGTAACGTGTTTCTTTGAAAAGTTGATCGTTATAATACAATATGATAACTGCAAAACGTATTAATTAGTCTATTTCGAGAAAAAAGCTTATGTTGTAATTTTATACGTGCCAAATTATAGAAAGTTTTAGCGAGATATGTGGCATTGTTTGTGAAATAATTAACACAAATAAACTCTAGTTGTTGCCGAATTAGATGCGTCTACCGGAGCGTTAAAGGACAAAAAGCAATTTTATTGGGTAATAAGGAACTTAATGCTAAATGATATTAACCAATTCACTTATTATGGCACATTAAATGTCGAAACTGTTAAGCATGCGTCTCACACTCCCTGCGTTTGCCAAATTTTATAAAAACTTTAAAACTGTTTTTTTTTTCATCATTGCAAAATTTCAAACTTTTTGCACCCAATATTTGGCTGTATGGCTTAGTTTCTTCGCCTATCCCATGGACGAAACTACTACTATTACTCAACTTTTTGCAAATACAAAGATAGATAATTAAATACTAATTGTATTACCAAGGATACATTTGGAGTCTAATTCGTTGTTATGAGATTTTTGCCATAAGGTTGTTTCTTTTTACACACATATTAGTATAAATAAATTACAAAGTACTTTAATAATAATTTACCTTTTTTAATATTTTTTTAATGTATTTGCAAGATTGGTTTAGGCCTAATATTCTATAGAAACTCACAAGCCTGTATAGAAAATATTCGTACACTCTGCAGAGAGTGTCTGGTTCAAGAATAAATTTAACTGCCACTTAAAAATAATTCTGTAACTTCTTTAACTTTTTGTAATTAATGGAACTCTTTAAGACAGTTTGTAAATATGTAAGACTATTTTTTACCTCTATAAATAAATAAAACATAAAAAAAAATTAATAATCTTCAGAAACCCTGAAATATTTTAATATCGGCATGGTTATCGTTGAAATAATGTTAGGGCATAACAACATAGAAGAGCATACCTTACTTACAGAGAAAATTGTGTCATAAAGATTAGAGACAAGTAATTATTACCGTTTAATCGGATTTGCTATTAGTATATTTTTTTTTATTAATGGAAATTAATGTAAAATTATGTATCAATAGTATCAGCATGATTTTGGATGAACATGAACCCGCTATTTGTAACTTTTGAACTAACTTTCTTTGTTACACCTTTGTTGTAAATTATGGAGTGCAATAAAGAAATTCAATTAACAGTTTGAAAATAAAAAATGTTTGATGAAAAAGTATATATAAGTGTCTTTCAACGTTAAAATAAATTAAAGGTTTCATTTTTATCAAGAAAAAAAGCTAACGACTCATTACAAAACAAACTGTAAAAGTGACATTCTATTAAATTTAACTTTGGCTAATCCTTACTTGACCATCAAAAGATTTAAAAATAGAACTAGAATATTTTTTGTTTATTTGAAACTAAAAAGAAACCTTTAGATGGTATTACGGAGAAATAAGAATCCGACCAAACGCTAACAAATGGAATGTTGCATACTAATTTAGAAAGAAAACAACATATCAAAGAAGGGAACTTTAAAGTTGTCGCAGTAACAAGGACTCTAGCGGGTATCACAGCTAATTAGCACGACACTAGAAAAGGTACACGGACAATTAACATCGGAGTAGCACACCAAACCAACAAGGGAACTTGGAAAACTCCACAAAGTTTATTATAAAGAGAAAAACCTGAGTTCGTGTGGGTACATACATACGTGCCAGATGTGGCCCGTAGTGTTTAAGACACGGTACTTTTCATCACCATTCGTATAATTCGTCTGTGCAAGATGAAACAAAAGCATTTTTTAATAGTTCAATTAACTGCACTAAACAAGAAATTAACTAATCATTTATTTTATGGCTTGTGACATGACATTTTTACTAAGAATTTTAACAAAGGCCTGTACTGTAGTTCTTAATTAAAAAAAATATATATATAAAAATAAAGGCTTTCTGTGATTAGTTCCAATAGCATATTCATTTTAATTTCTAAATCTATTTCTTATGAGGAAGTGTCTATGGAATTACTTAATTAAAAATAATGTAATTATGATGTCTCTCACCTTCATCATGGACGTCCAAAGAGTCCTTTCTCTCTGGTTCGTCATCAGAATCAGGGTCAACGATCGAATCAGCTTCTGTAGTAATCAGTTCAGGAGGTGGACAGCCTAAACCAGTTGGAGTATCTAAAAGACATCGTTAAATTTAACAAAAACGTAAAACAAATGTAATTTGATAGTTTTAAATCATATTATCAAACGTCAGACTTAAATCTAAATATATATAATTCAAAGGTGACTGACTGAAATAGTGATCTATCAATGCACAGACCAAACCTCTAGACGGATCTTGCTGAAATTTGGCATGCAGGTAGATGTTATGACGTAGGCATCCGCTAAGAAAGGATATTGATAAATTCTACCAAGGGGATAAAATAGGGGATGAGTGTTTGTATGAAACTTTGTCAATTTTAAACCGATCGATCTGAGACTTTGCATGTATAAAGCTACTATGACGTAGGCACCCCCTAAGAAAGGATTTTGATAAATTCCACCCCTAAGGGTATAAAATAGGGGATGAAACTTTATTTCAGGTATTTTACACGATATAATTAATAAATATTAATTAGAAATACTGCTCAAAGTAACTATCACGCCGACGAAGTCGCGGGCAAAAGCTAGTTTAAAATAAAAAAAATATTATTACTCTAAATAAGGGGTCCCAAATTGGTCAAAGTTGATCACTCAGGGTCAAAATCGCTTCGATCGGTTGATCAACATAGAAAGTGTTTTTGTAGCGAAGTGTAGCGTCGCGAAGTGTAAAAATCTCTTATTTAAAGGTTGTAAAGATACTGTATAAATAAATAATGTAAAGTATATTTGCTTAATTTGTTTCAATAGTTTATCAATTTCAATTGGCATTCAAAGAATATTATGTCTATTTATTTGTATAATTATGATGAGCTATGTCAAGTGTAATCGTATTTTAATTTTGTAAGTATTTGGTATCATATTCAATATCAAAGAATTCACATGATAGAAACCAGAAAGGGCGTACTACAGTACCTGACGGGGCAATTTACTCGACAGGTACATTTTTTATTTTTTGTGTATTTATATAAAAAGTTGTTTATTTATTTTATTTTTATCATATTAGATTTAAAATAATGTAACTTTAATAAACCTTAATGCAAAATTTCGGCATCATCGGTTGAAGACTTTGATAAACATACATTTAAATAAAAGCTTGTTAAGTTTTAAATAAACATTGTTGTAATTTTCCCAGAACTTTCCTTATGGAAATTTTATTTCGCATAACTACTACAGTGCCGAAACAACTTGAAAAGAAAACAGTAATCGTCGCATATAAAGTCATTGCCATTACGCAATGTAATACCTACTAATAATTTTAATGAAACGTTATACGTACACATAATTTTAATGAAAACGGAAAACCGTATTGGTAATTATCGCTTATTAAGAAAATCACTCAACACAAAGTAAAAATATGTTACTCACGATTTTATGAAAATTCGTTACGAAAGTAGCATTTATAATTTGATATAAATGTCAAAGATCTTAATTGATTACTAGTATAAATAATCTTTAAGTTAGTCAAATGTTTTATATGGTTAAAACCTTGGAAAAACTATTTTTTGCATTTAAAATATCAGCCATACAAATCTCTTTTTATTTTGTATGTTAAAAATATTAACTGAGAACGTTTAGAGCAGAAGGAAAATATATTTGAAATCGTGCAATCGATTAATGAGATACGCAAAACTATTTTATAAAAACAAGAATAATTAAGGTACATTTTAGTATTAAGTCATAAATCTGGCACTAACTTTTTAACAAATTATTTAAATAGTTGCACTGCATTTATTTATTTTTTTTCAGGAGACAACGAGTTCCTTTTGTTTGCGAGAAACATATTCGTGGTAGAGGACACTGTAGAATTAAGTGGAACATTCTTTCGCCTTCCGTGTTACATCGGCCACGCAATACCCGACTCCGTACACCAGTGTTGCTATAATGTCCAGTGTGTAATTTTATTGTGCTCTTGAGAACTATTACATTAATCGTATATGATCCAGTTTAATGCTACGTATTTCTTAATACTCGTAATTCAATTTGGTGCATGATTTTTATTTTTTATTTTAGTCGTGAACTGAGCGTTAAAGTTTCTTTATAGAACTTTATGCAGGTGAAATGATTTGATAGTTTATAGATCAATCAATGGAGGAATAGGGGGGGGGGGGGGGGAGTCCGCCCCTGGATTCCGGTTCTGAGGGATCTCCAAATGGCTGCGCAGTCTTTTGATCACATTATAAATTCGGGGAGAAGGCACCGTACAAATAAGTACAACCTGTAGCGGGGGTGGGGGTGGAAGAAAATTTGTTAATTAATTTTTCTTTCATTTGTGTTTTGTATTTTTTTTGCGATTAAAAACTCAAAGATATGTTACAAGCAAGTATTTTCAATATGGGAATAGAAAAATGTCCACATCATATATAAATGTCAGCTTTCAAGATTCTTTGTTTATCCAATTTAGAACTATTCAAGTATTCTTTAAATTTTCAAAGTATTAGACAAAATATTAATAAAAAAAAAATCGTAACATAAATCATTGAACGTCCCTGAAGATAGAAATAAAATAAAAAACCATGGAGTTCGACGACCGGGATGGTCGTTGACACCTTTTGCCGCGGACCAAAATATTTGGCGGGATTTCAAAGATACCAAGAGTGTGCAATTCCGATACCATTTCCAGTATACGAAAACAAACGCAAGCTGTAGATTACTTATAAATACAAAAAGGTTATAAATTCACGTGGGCGTATGAGAAATGTCTCTCGATTTGGTTTATTAAAGATTGGTTCAATAACCCGATCAGTTGTTATTGGCGTATAATGTAGGATTTATATCGTTTGATATAACTTTGATGTAAACAAACGGATGCGTTTATTTCTTTCTAATATATATAGTACTCGCTTACCGCCAGCGGCTTCGCCCGCGTAGTCCCTAGGGCACTGTTATTTAGATATTGATTCGTATCATGACATGGATATAATTACAAATTGCAATGTTTTAATTTTCATCCCTTTATTTGTTTTTTTTTTTAATAAAGTTCATCGCATATGATGTAGCTTCCCAGCAGGTGAAAGATTTTTATTTAATTGGTCCAGTAGTTTTGGAGCCTATTAGTTACAAACAAACAACTCTTTCCTCTTTATAATATTAGTATAAACTAAAATTACATCTAAAGATATCAATCAAATCTTCCTGACTGATGATGAATAAATAAATATATAATTTATTACACATTAAATTAATAATATAAAAACACATATAATTAAGAACATAGTCGCAAAAGGCGGCCTTTTGCAACTATGTTTTTCTTCTTTCAGACAAGACTTCCATATTTGGAACTAGTAGTAGTTTTCTGTAGCCAGGGGTTAATAAATGACCAACAAATTAAACAAGTCAAATGTATTTTTCAAAATAATTTAATTTAATAAAAAAATTAAATGTTTCCATTAATTATGAAATTGTGTTGTGAATGTTTTTAATACTCTTAATTAAAAAAGGCAATCGAAAACCTAATCTTAAGTACACACGGAACCTGTAAAGGGTGCGAAACGCCATGAAGCCAAATAAAACCCGCTGTAACCACTTAAAATTGTTTCATTTAACAGAGATTCATTTATGTGAGCACTAAGAAGGGGATTTTGAAAATTCAACCCCTAATAGTACTAGTTGAAAGTCTGTATTGAAGTGTCTAGAATTTTTTAAATAACAATATTAAAAGTTGGTATTTAGCTTATTAAAATAAGAGGGTACACTAATAATTTGTGGTTTTAAAATCACTTTCCGAGAGATTCAAAATAAGTACGGAGTTTTGTTTAAAGTTGAATTATAAAGTTTAGTACCTATAAAGATTTGAGTGCAACCCAGTTAGGGTTCAGTAACCCGGTACTGGAGTGCAAAAGCATGACTTTGTCGTTTGTTTGCAGGGGGTAATCTTTGCAAATAGTGATCCGATCAATTTCTTTCACCTACGAGTAACTACATCATACGTGGGTTACATAGGCTATTATTTACGCGGTTAGTGTTATAACAAGCAATGTTTTAAATGTTATCTACGTTAGGAAATAAACAAATATGTTTCAAGGGAAGTGTGGAAATTAGCCGATTTTTTGTTGTATATTTGAATGAAATACTTATAATTTCGTTTTATTAAATACTAGCTTTCGCCAGCGGCTTCGCCCGCGTGGTCCCTAGGGAAATGTTAAGTGGGATAAAAAGTATCCTATTATCTAAGTCAGCTAATACCCTATCTGTATACCAAATTTCATCAAAATCCGTTCAGTAGTTTCGGCGTGATTTAACTTTTTTAATTAGGGATGACTGAGAGTGTTATAAACGTAAGAGTAGACAATAGACAAATACAATCAGAAAGCTTCGAACTGCTAAGCTATCGGGAGTTACACGTGTTATTGTGAGTCAACCATAAAAGATAGACATATGCTGTCGTGGGATATTTTTTATATAATTTTAAGGAGAACATTTCCGTCATACATGATTTCTGGGTAGCTTTAACCATTAAGGTTGCACACGCGACGGAAGCTTAAAAAATGGAGTAACTTCTCCCGTTTTCCCAACATTTCCCTTCACTGCTCTGCTCCTATTGATTGTAGCGTGATGAAAAGTATACTATAACCAGCTCAGGAGTATGAAAAATAATTGTACCAAGTTTCGTTAAAATCCGTCGAGTAGTTTTTGTTTCTATAACGGTTATACAGACAGACAGACAAAAATTTTACTGATTGCATTTTTGCCATCAGTATCGATCCCTAATCACCCCCTGATAGTTATTTTGGAAATATATTTCATGTACAGAATCTCTACAGATTTATTATAAGTATAGACTAGTTGTTTCCCCGCGATTACGCCCGCGTAAATTATAGCCTATGTCAACCGCGTATGATGCATCTTTCCGTAGGAAAAGTAATTTTATTATCGGTTATGTATTTCTGAAGATATACCTACCTATCTATACCTACCCTACCCTACTTTTTTATAATATTAGTGTAGATTTAATGTGCGCGGAAATAAAATAACCTATTATATTCGGACTATTTTATATATCTCTTTGAACAATTTGAAATCGTTTTAAATGAAATATCGGGCAATGATGACTTCTGGCGATATTGTAGAATTTCAGGAAAACAAGCTGTATTCACCTTACAATAATAAATATGAGAGCATGGTCTTTGTCATATATTCCAAAATGGCCACGTATCTGCCAGTTGATTCACCTGGTATCGCGCTCGTTATACAGGCTGTTTATTGTTTACAAATATAAAAAAAAATCTGCAGTCTTATTGTTGAGAAATTGGGTAGTGAGTTGTGTTTGACTCACGTGACCCACGTGGACTGTATACTCTTTATCTCAAAACTGATTTGTAACCAAAATTTTGTGTGTTTTAATGGATATTTTTATAAATATTTCTATAATAGTTTTTTTGGCCAAACGTTCAATAAATTGTATATTTGATCGGTGTATCTAAATTAGTCTGTTGTTGTGTTTTTTTTATGGCTGTCTTTCTAATGTTTTGCCTTGGGCTCTAAGTTTCATTGAGCCGGCGCTGTATATCACATACTATAGACACGAACAGCTTATATCCGGCTAGAAGGACTATTTGTAAATTAAGTAGGTATGCGAAACTTAGTGTAAAAATTAGAAAGGTTTGATTTTGTCTTTTCCTATTTTACGCTATATTTTTGGGCACTTTATTAGGCAAAACGGAACCGTTATGGGATCACTTTGTTGTTTGTCTGTTTGATTTAATTAAAAGATTCTCGTATGTATGTGATGGTTATCCAAATGAGATTGCGCAGTGTAAATAAATAATTATTAAACATGCAGGACTCTTTTTATTATATCATTGTTCCTTTTCCTCAAAAACAACAAACGACCTGGAGCTCTATTTTTGATTCACTCGTGACTTTTGATATGTAAATATGCAATCACCTGCTTTGATGGAAGTGAGGTAATGACAGATATATGTAACTTTTATTTAAATGTAGCTAAATCTTTTTTGTACACTTTCAGTGTCGGGAAAATCGACCATATCGGCATATTGAGATAGATTTAAAAAATTTAAAGCCGAATTTACATATAAATTACTTAATGCGTTCAGAATTCATCATCATCACCAGCCCTTTTACGTCGCCACTGCAGGGGCTCAGGCCTTCCTTATGGATGGTTAAAGAGGATGAGCCATGAACCTCCACGCTAGCCCAATGCTCATTAGAGGGTATTAACGACTGCAAATGCAGCCGGGACCAACGGCTTAACGTGCCTTCCGAAGCACGGAGTAGCTCGAGATAATAATTTTTGGTCACCCATCCCATGATCGACCCTAGCAAAAGTTGCTTAACGACTAAGATCGCGGGCCGCGGCGCTTATCCACTACGCCACCGAGCTACTCAATCATTCTTAATGAGGGAATGATTTTATTTTGCGGGGCAGCTTTTATACTACATTTTAATTCTTAATTATTTATTGAATGAAATAATGTTTTCACAAAACATTAACGTTTACTTTTAAATCATCATCATCATCACTTCAGCCGAGAGACGCCCACTGCTGGGCATAGGCCTCCCTCAAAGATCTCCAAAGCGATCGATCCTGCGCCTCCCGCATCCATACTTTTTAATATTGTACCTATTAATGTTAATAAAAAAGAAGATTTGGTATTTTTGGAATGTGGAGCTTTGTTAGTACTTTTTTAGAAGCAAGTATTTTTTTTTATCAACGATAACACATAACTACTATTTATCGAAATAAGGAGTTCATTAAAGCTGTTCGGAACTACGGCCTCGGAACCAACATTTCAGAAATTTTCTGAGAAAGACCCAAAAAGTGTGAATGTAAACAAAACGGCCATAAACCTCATTTATTTATTCATTTTAACGTCATTTATTCATTTTATGTTTTGATGTTTATTCTATCACTCGCATGGGTTCGCTAAACGACGAGTAAGTAGTTCATATCACTCGTTGCAGTCGAGCGAATACGAAATGGCGACTATCACCCGGTTTCCGAATTGAGAATTTGAAATTAAGCACGTCTCAAACCGCGCTTAAGCCATTTCAAATGTCATTTAAACAGGTTTTCGTATCTGATATATTTTTTTGTTATGAGTTGATAATAGTTTGATAATACTAAGCATTTTAGCCATGTAAAACGTAAAAAAACTTAAGTTATTGAGAATAATCAGTTAAGATATTGAACTTTTCTCAATTCAGAAACTGGCCGTTTGTATCTCAAACGAAAATCAGTAGACAACGAACGCTCGACGCGAGACGAATGATTAAAAATATAGCTCTTGTACATATGTTCCGGGAAATGCATTAATTTATACGTTGACTGAATTGTTGAAAGCTGCCAGTGACTGCGTGGTGCGTGGGAGCGAACATTAGTGTAATGACTTTGGGAAGTACATGATTTGACGTGTATCTTTTTTAAATGTCACACATATGTCATTGCGTTTCATAATATTTTCGAGAGCGCTTCCAATTGAGGTTATAAATATACACAAATGTCAGGAACTGTTTACAGATGAGCAGTTATGAATAGTACACGTTAAAAATAAAAATAAGATCGGTACGTACGCTGTTATGAAACTAAATCACAAAGTTTTAATTGTTTTCTGACGGACACCCAAAAAAAAGCAGATTAGTAGACTTTTTAAGAATTCAATTAAGTTAAATCATAAAATTAAATAGAATTTCTTTACTTAACCCAGACATCATCCCTATTAATATAGACAAAATAAATAATGAATTTTTCTCAATATGATATGAAAGAAAAGAGACTACCAAAATAAAAACTCCCATAACGTACCTCTGTCCTGTTTTGATATGCATGGTGACGATTCTTGGCATTTGGCCACACACTTCTTGTGGCAACAGAGACCGCAGTTCCGGCATTGCATCGCATCCTTCAACCATATCTAGAAAGAATTCACCCTAGTTTCAACTTGAATAGGTATTACAAGAAGCAATAGATTGGTCCTTCGAGCGGCTCATGAAAATATCATAGTTTGTTGTGCAAGTTTATGGTTGGAGTATGAAATCCTGATCAAAATATATTTACCCCAAAATAAATGACACATTGATCAAGATTTTAAACAGTTCATAGTTACACGTGGGCAATCGATCTCATGAAAATATGACGTCACAACTCTATTAGGGTTGTGGACATCTCTATCGTGCTCACAGTGGTGAATTCCCCCATACTTAAACTTCTATGATTTTTTCAAAGGGTGGGTGTAATCTGATGGAAAATCCGTCGCGTATAATTCATCGGCTAGATATAGATATTTATTTGCCTTTAAATAGGATACAATTTGATAGGAATTAATTAAAATAAAATTAGAACTTAAAACCTATTTAGCCATACAAAGATAGCATGCAAATATTAAATTTAATTAATTTTTCATTTCCGGTAAAAACAATCAAATTATTATCAAAATTAATTAAATACAATTTTTATACAAAATTAACAAATTCACTAAAATTACCATAATCATTATCATTTTGAAGATAAAATGTCACAATAATAAATGTCAAGATAAAGAATTTCGTAATTAATAGCGTCAAAACAATAAAAAAGATACAAATCATATAGCAATTAAACTTTGTGTTAACTTATATAGCTTTGGCTATTAATTTATCTAGTAGCATGGTTTAAAAAATCATCAATAGAATAAAATGCCATTTCCAATAACCGTCAGAATTGACAAAATAAATAATATGACATCCATCTTTACATACTCAACTGATAAAAAATTATTAGCCTTCCAGCGTTAGTACGATTGACGGATCTGTCGTCAGGTGTGCACCGACCCTAAGTATGAAATCAGGGTTCTCAAAAGTCCGATATTTATAATAAATACGAAAATATCTGATATATCATGCATATGAAAAGCTGTTTTATATAATATTTGATGTTTAAAATTTCGAAATTTCTAGTAAGACTACTTCGGTCCAAACAAACAATAAATATTATTAATATCAATTGATATATCTATCTACGTCGCGTGTTCATAAGTTTTGAGACGAAATAAAAATTGCCTTACTTTTTCAATCTAAAATTTTTAGTAACCATTAAATAGATAATTATTTTGGACTTGAGAATCCTTTCTACTCTTTACTCTATAATTAAATTATCTTAAATGCAAGTTTCAGTATTTGGGTGTCTCTCACAATCGAAATCTTCGCTCAGACAATAAATTATCTTTTCTTACTCCTTTCCACCGAACTGGTTTTATTTCAAACTCATTTACTCTTCAGGCAATACGACTCTGGAACGCGCTCCCTACCAATATACAGAAAGCACCAAATAAGATCTCCTTCAAACTATTAGTTCGTGAATAACTTTTAAATTCATCATCCACATCTGGTTAACCCATAATTTAGTTAGATATGTATATTTGTATGGTTGTGTATGTATGTTTATATATTATATATGTATGTGTGTGTGTGTGTGTGTATGTGTGTATATGTATATGTATGTATGTATATTTATTCATGATGTTTATTTATGTTTAGGATATTATAATGAAGTAAGATGTAAATATTTGTCTAATACATATATAATGCTAATCTTTTCGCACCGCCTCATATACTATCTGTACACAATTCTACGGTTGACTGGTAGAGAATGCCTAATGGTTTAATTCCGCATTAAGTCCGCCATTTGTACTGTGTGCAAAAAGTTTAAATAAATAAATAAATAATAATCAAAAATAAAATATATATTTTATTCAAAATGATCGCCCTTGTTTTTAATACAGGCCCTTAGACGATTTTGCCAGCCATTAATGGCGTCACGAAACTTTTCTGGCGGAATTAGCTTTGCTTCTCGAATAAAGGTTTGCTTCAATGACTCCAAGTTTGGTTGGGACTTTCGGCAGGGCCTGATCTCTAATTCAGTCCATAAAGAAGAATCCAGCGGGTTGAAGTCGGGGCTGAGGGAGGGGCACTCGTCCGCCGCGATGAAGACCGACACATTCCCCTTGAACCAAGCTTGGGTGCTTTTTGCCTTATGGGATGGCGCGAGTCTAGTTGAAAAACCCAATCCTTATTGTGAAATAACAGCTCAGACAGGGGTTTCACCACGGGTTGTAAAATGTCACTCTGATAATTCTTGGCCATCACCTTGACACCTAGTTGGCAGAAATGGAGCGGAGTGACACCTTCATAAGAAACTCCCCACCATACCATTACACTACCCGGAAGAGTGTGCGAAACATTCCGTGCAGAAGCTGAGACATCCTTGCTACTTTTAGCGTACACTTTATTGTTTTGTCGGTTGAACTTTTCTTCGACAGTAATAATTTTTTCGTCGGTGAAGAGTATCTTCGTGGCATGATGTCTCTTCAGCAGCAATGGACAACGTTCGCGTCGTAACTTACGAAGACGATCGTTTAAAAAGTTTCTACGGCTCATATTTCAGTATTCTGTTCACTGAAACGCGTGAAATATTAGTCTATAGAGCGAGTTTCTTCTGAGTGCGACAATGATTTCAGCGAAGTCGCTCTCGGATGATTTTGATATTCGCAGGCGTCCTCACAGAGCGTAGCCGACCACTCCTTTGGCGATCTTGCAAAGAACTTGTCTTTTTGTACCGCTGTATTGTGTAATAGACGAAGTTACGGCTTACAGGAAAACTTTTTAGCTCACGGAAAATCTGTATCGGCTTTTTTCCGCCTTAAATAGCGAAATAACAGTTGCACGTGACTGTTTCATTCCCTCCATCACGAGAAAATATATACAAATGAAATGAATTTGCTATAAAAATAAACTAAAAGTTAACATTCCAAATTTAAAATCGGTAAAAAAAATAAGAGCCAATAACATTTTATTTTATTTTTTCAGTAAAAAGTTTGTCTCAATCTTATGAACACACGAGGTATATCAACGAAACCTGGTGAAACTTACCTTCTTATTACAGAAATCACACTGAGTCGATCTATGGAAGTGTGTCCTCACGAAGTCATGTGCCGCTCTAGTAGGTTTCGGTGGTTTAGGCGCTGTATCTCGGGAAGTACGAGGGCTTTTATATGCGTTAGAATTCGCATTCGAATTGTTTCCTCCTGTTCCCTCCCACTCCCACCAGACGAGCGCGTCGCCAAAACAGAGACACGGCTCGAAACCAGCGTGAGAAGATAATTTGTGGCTCTTACTGTATAAGATAGAGTTGAATCTTTTATTGAATTCTCAACATATTTACAAGTTTCCTAAAAAAATTGTTTAACTATACACTCGTTAAATTTTTATCTTACTTGATGCATCAATTATGTAACAGAAATAAAACAAGCAAAGCATTATGATTACTTTCACTTTGTTAGATTTCTATTTCATTATTTTTCTTTTAATTTTATATACGTCAAACTTTGAAATTAAACAATGTTTACGACTCTATTTACGATAAGATAATATTGGTTTATAAATAATATGGTTGTTGTAACTAAATTTGCTTGTTACCTTTAATTTTAAACTCACCTAAATTTGATGTCCACATCTGGAGGTAAGAACTGATACCGTTTCATATGATGCGGAACAGTCGAATCTTGACACTCCGCCAGTAGTGCGGTTAGAGGTATATTCAAATAGCCTAATAAAATCTCATCTTTCTCACCGGGTACAGTAGCCCACACATTCATATTCAAATACTTGTGATTCTCGTTCAATTTAAACTCAGTTTCTTCATCGAAAGGTATAATCGGCTTCAATTGTAAACTCTTCGTCCAAAACATCTGACATATCTCTACGTGCTCACTCTGTCTTGGTCCACCCGTTTCGAATACATGGTCCTCGTCGTCTAGCATATCGCCTCTCTCATTCTTACATTCTGATGAGTCTGTTCTTATGATGGGTATATCTTGATGTTTGATAGTTTTGTTGGTTCCTGTGATTTGTTTAAGAGGTGTGCTTGCGCCGGAAGCTGGAGGGGTACTGCCTGCTGAGCTATCGGAAGACTTATTTTCTACGGAACACCTGCGCTTGCGAAGACCGAAATTCCCACCAGGCGTAGAAGGTTCTGGGGGTTTTGATGTCGATCGAGTAGGCTCCTGTTTCGTCTTCTGGTTCGAAGGCGGTTCGCTCTCTGATGGTGGTTCCGGCGCTTTTGAGGGAGAATCTGATTCCTGAGATGAATACAGAATGTATATTACCGATTATGTAACAAGTATTAAGTAATATTTAAGTCACTCACTGTCTCAATTGCCTGCATACCGTCTACGTAAAGAGCAACTATTAACAACTTTTACGAGGTTGCAAGTAGTTAATCCACCTTCTGAGTTGATGTTAACAAACGTGATGTGTCAGATGTTTTAGAATAATAATAATAATAATAATAAACAGGTAACACATCGCAAAGATTCAAAGTTAAAATGTCAATTCTTTTGTATCTATCACGGACATCTCTCGTCCGTTTCTCGAGTCTCTTAAGACTTTCAAGTTCTTAATGCTAAGCGGACTAGTCTGGGTGAGGTGGTACATTGGCTTTTATTTGGCTGGTATTGTATTGGATTTAATTAAAATATTGAGTGTATTTTAATTAACCTGATGTATTGAACGTACATACCACAATAGGTAATATTTTATCTGCAGTATTTACACTGTATCTAACAATACAGTACCTATTAAATATTGAGTTTATTTTTATTATATATCATACCAACCAAATAGAAGCCAACATTATAACTACTTTAATTTGGCTTAGCTTGATGGTGACGATACAAAAATTATTTTTATATATTGATCCAACTGGGAATTAAACCTTCCTTGGTTTGTTCCTCAGAGATAGTGGCACCTAATAAACGGCATGTGAGCCACTCTACTATGGAGATTATGAATACCACTATTCTTAGCTGTCGTTTTGTATTAAATGCCAAATAAGCACCTGCAAGTTATTCTTAGAAGCGGCCGCTCGCATGCCCTGCAGCCTAACGCCCTCCATTACTTCGGACACGCGTCTAAACGTGAAATTAGTTCGTACGCGACTCTTCGCCTCAACGGCGGGCTCTTCCCGTCTGGCAAGTGCGCTAGTTCCACCCCTACGTACTCTAACCGTTACTGCTCGTCTGTCCACGCACCGGAGTAGTTTGCCCACCTATAACATCGATATAATAATTTCATTGACATTCATCATCTGACCTGGAATTCTGCAAAAATCCAAATCCGAATTCAAATATACTCAGGTGCATCTGCTCAATCTTGAATTGGTAATAACGTTTTGTGGTATAAATAAAGTGAGTTTCGCAATGACATAAGACTAGAATATCTGAGACACGTATATTTAATCAATTTTGTTTTGTATTTTTATACAAAAAATGGAATTAATAGAATTTCTACAATAAATTGCGTGAATTCGGATAAATGAGCAAAATCCAATTCGGGTCTGGATTTTTACAGAAATGCTGGGCAGTGTATATTACTTGATACATTCATGCATAATAAATTATTATTATAATTATCAGTGTTTCAATGCCCCCAAAGCTGGGTAAAAAGGTATGTCCCTATAGACAAATCACACAAGGAGAATACACTGAAGATCACCAACCTATCGAATATAAATTTTATTCACATTCATCATTATTTGCAAAAGGGTGCAAATCTCCATTGTTGTGCCACAGGTATTACTTGTACATTAAATTGCCCATGGAGTATGTTCCTGGGATCAGTTGTGTGGATATAAAAGACTACAAATACATCTGCGACGAAAGGCAAATAGGTAATAGGTCTTTTTTTTTCCTTACGTTACAATTATATTAATATGTGAATGAAATGATCAAAACTGTTGAGAGATAATTAGCCCATATGGAAAGGCTAAACACCAGCAGTATGGATATTGCAGACTGATACTGAAAATATACAGTAGTAAGCTAGCGCGTTTGGTCTGATGGATAATTAAAATGTTATACATATGAGTTCGTTAATACCCTGTGCTGACTCCGCATTGTTAGTTATGGCCTGTTCTCGTAGAGAAAAATAAGTTCTTGCTGAGTTATTTGCCGGCTCTTCTCATTACAAGGTCTGCCGTCGTAGATTTACGAATCTACAACACAAGAGCTTTTCAGACATAACAGTCTGACCGAGTACATTAGTCTTTGATTTCTCCGTGTTTCTTCGTGACATTGTATGATAAATTTAAGTCTCAGCACACGTTAATTATGCTAATTAAAATATAATTAGTGATGAAGCTCAACTAACCTGGGCGACGTTATTGATTGGTTTGTTATCTATGGCAAGTACAACGTCATCTCTACGCAAATCTGCGCGGTAAGCAGGAGACATCGGTACCACAGTATCAACCAGTACTACACCAACGCCTTGACAGCATACAAGCCCCAACGGACCTGTTACCGCTGGCAATACTATATCCAGTACTAAAACACCACGCCGAAGTGACACCTGGAAGAGAAAATACTAAACTCTTCACTCTGTCCTCAATTAATAATATAAAGAAATAGTTTCTGACTTTATTTGTAGGGGTAATCTTGGGAAATACTGATCCGATCATGAAAATTATTTAATCTACGGGACGCTATATTTTATGGCTCGTTTACACGTTATTAATTTGATAAGTAGATTATAATTTTAAATTCAATTAAGTTCATAAGTACTTACCTAAATTTTTACCAAACATTGTGTGTTTACACGTTCTTAATCAGTTAAAATTAAGTTAATAATCTATTTAATTACGTGTATACCAACCATTACGCGGGAAACATAGATTTTTAATATACGCGGGCGAAGTCGAGGGACCCTGGACGGCGGGAGTATTGGACTCATTAACCAAAAAAGTTTGTAATTGACTATTGACTTCCCATGCAATTAAAAGGTGGGATCAGCCGGAAAATGGAATGGCACAATAGGCATGATGACTATTCTTTGTCTGTCCGTCAAGTAGTTTATTGATGAATATCAAACACGTATTTTTTTTATTCTCCACGTAATCAATAATTACGCCGATACATTGAGTTGAAATGTCCCTCGACGTCACACCTTTGTGCTATTCTATTTTTCCACGTAATTTATAAATATTAATGATCAATCAGTAAATAAAATGTCGCATGACGCCACATCTTTGTCCATGTGACGTCGCGAGCCCCCATTCCTCAACTTTAATGCCTATTATCTAAGCCATTTCTTATGAGGCAGTATTAAAAAAAAACGAAAGCACTAAAAAGCACCTTCACTAGATGGCGACTCTAGCAAAAGTTGATTTTTGCAGGAAACGAATGGACCGACGACAGTTATTTTCACAGTTGGTTTCTTTTAATTAACATATTAAAAATCTGAAATTTGAAAAGTTTAAAACTTAGATATCAATACTAATATGAAAAGCGCAAATAGAAGCTGAGTTGTTTATTGAGTTTTGAAAATTAATTTACTTTTAAACATGAAAGAAAACCGGAAGGGTTGTCATGGAGAAATCAAGAACGTACCGTAGCGACATCTAGTTTGATTTCGGGAACTAATGGTTTTTAAAATACTTCCTCATTAAATTGATGCTTAAAAAAGTATCTGATATTTTTCTGACGGTCTAAATACAATCTCTTTTTTTATCCAGGCATCAATACCATCTTTTTTAAGTCCTTATATATTGGTAATAAAGGTCATACCCATCCATGCGAATCAACCGCCAAAGCTGCTCGCACGGTACCGTTCGCTCCTGTCCATTGGAGACGTGTGACCTCTACGAGGCGGACAGTCAGTCTGCCGTTGGGCGTCGGCCCCTCCTCACCATCCCCACTACCAGGTTCCGATTTCGGAAAGAACGGTTTATAACTAAAAAAGGAAAACAGAAGTGCATGGATAAATAGGCGTATATTCATTTATTATTTTTTCACCTGAAATTGATATCCAATGGGCATCGTTGCCGTAGTATTAGAGCACTGTTCCTAAATGTATGCTATAGATATGGCATGACGACAGTTTAGGTATGGACCATGGTTGGGGATAATGCTTTTTTATATTTATCTTGATACATATTCTTTTTTCCAGTTAAACGATATCTATATAATATTATGTATTAACTTTAATTTACAATGCTGTTTCATTTATTATTTTTCTTTGTAGGAGAAAAACCGGCGCCTTATAAAAAAACAACTACCGTCAAAACGGCAACGAATTCATAGCGCAGAGTGTCATATATAAAATATTCAATAAACGGCTTTAGAATTGAGCCATTACAAAAATCCAAATATTTGCCATTATTGTTGGGAAGTAACTTACCGTATTTTATAGTTAGGAAGTGTATGCCTCTGGGCGACCGCTCGCCTTATATGTGCTGCGACCAGCGATGCCAGCCTCGGCTTGAGCTGGCGGCCTTGGAAGCGGCCTCGCACTCGCAGCTCTAACTTCGGTGGTGCCTCGAACGCTAACGCCCAATGTGTGTAAGGGTTGCGGCGGAACATCACGCGCACGCTACCACTTATACTTTCCACTGCAAGTTGCCAATAAATTGCTTCATGACACTTAAAGTTCTGGATGTTGGGATAGTTCTATATCTAGACGCTTCTGTTTCTATTCCGCCGTAGATTTTCGACCTGATGCGTAGTTTTCAACATTCAAAAATGCTTGTAACAGCCTAGACAGAATAAATGACATTGAATTTGAACTTTAGTCTTGACTTTACGTTTCTCTAAATCTTATCTGTAAATTTTAGACCTTAATCCTTATAGATTAATGTCAGTCTTATGTTATGGAGTGGACACCAATGATTTTAAACAGAGGTGAGTTGTAACAATTTCAATGCTAACGGTTTTGAAATTTCGAAGAATCGGAGTTGTTTCAACTCATTTCTGTGTGGCTACACCACCAGTAAGACAGTAATAAGGCTACATCAGTTAATGGAAAATTTATTTGTATATCTGCCAATGAAATAAGAAGCTCTTAAAAGAACTATCTCAACGTCACTGTCCGTATGAAACAAAGGAGAAAGCAACGCAAAAATTGCGTATCAACAGCTGCGCGCCACATGTCAACCATCCGCAGCGCAGTCACCCGCACGCTCACACGACGCCTGGCAAAAGGGATCTCGTTAACTCTATGCCAGTCTTTATACGCTACGTCACACGATCCCTCGCCCCGCGTCTCAGTCCCTTTCCCTTTCCTCTCGTCACTTTCCCCTTCCATTGTAAATATTGTAGCTTTCTTGTAATTGGTTTAAAATGTACATTTCTCATTAGTTAAGTTTGTATTTATAATTTTAAGGAATTTTAATTGGTTAATATTATATTACGTTTTAGTATAAGTAGCTGTAAGATTTGTAAATAAAACAAAAAACGTTTTCCCCCGCTCTCAGTTTTCGTTGCGCGCCCCCGTGCGCGTACACGACTCTCTCCTACCCAAACTGTGAGTACTCTCGTGCCGTCTGCACACCCTGAGCGCAGGCCCTGCTAATTTTGTTTTTTTCAAAACATTAAACCAGCAGGACTTGACTCACTCTCAAGTTCTTGAGTTGGTGGATACCTAACGGTGGCAACTAAGCCAACTGAGCGATCCCGGTGCGCTCGCTAAGGCCCTTCAGGCTTTAGCAACACCGAAGACCCGATCCCAGTCCACTTGGGCCTTGTCCCAAGGGTGAAGGTTTACCGCTATATCCATTAGGGATAGCCGCATTTTTCCGCGTCGCGTTTTCCCCCCCTCGCTCCGGCGCGGGGTAGGTCCTTTGCACACTCGCCCTATCTCCCTCTAACCTACCAAGGTAGGTGTGACGGAGAGAAGTGCGAGTGAAACACATCTACTCTTCTCTCTTTCGCGCATTTAACGGTTTGCATTGCCGACATGTCCGATCTGCTTAACAGAGAATTTTCCCTCGCGGATCTCCAACGCATCCTACCCGACCACCTTTTCCAACCCATCCTCAGCGCAATGATGGCCCACTCAAAGGCATCAGCGCAATCCTCAACCTCCCTCATGGAGTGCGGAAGCACATCCATAAAGAGGACCGCTTCACAGCGATCCCATCCCCGCTCCTCCTCACCGTCGGACGACGACCTTTTCAGGACGTCCGATTCCGACGAATCTTCTAACTCATTTCATACGGTTAGTAGCTGCAAGAAGCATCGTAAGCCACGCTCCCCCAGAGCAAGTACGGACGCTTCAGCGGTAAACGTCACTCAAAAGCCCCGCACCACCGGAGGCAACACCGGCAAGAAACTCTCGGGAGAATACTCCTAGCATTACTCCCCCCCTCACCCCGCTGCGGCCGCATAATAAATGCGATCCACAGCCGGGCCACAAGCCACAAACCCAAACCTCCGCCTCCCGTATTCATACGGGACAAATCAAGGTGGGCAGAGGTCTCGAATCTCTGGGCACAAAACAAAATCAACTACACCCATGCCAAAAACATGGGTGTAGCTATCCGGGTGGAAACACCCACTAGCGAGGACTATAGAGCCCTCACTAGACTTCTAACCCACCACAAGGTACCCACCTTGTGGTGGGTACCTTGTGGTACCTTGTATCACACCTACGCTCTCCCAGAGGAGCGCAAAGTTCGTGCGGTTCTGAGGAATGTTCCGTACGAGCTCGTCACCGATCTGATCCATAAGGATCTTAATGAACAGGGATTCCCTGTAGAATCCGTTCATAAGATGCACAGTAGAGCCGGCAGGCCTTTCCCTCTGTCTGCGGCCTTTCCGGGGTTAAAGTAGAACCCCCTCACCGACGCGGTACTCCGGGACAGTGCCACCGATGCCAGCTTTACGGGCATGCGGCGGCTAACTGTTCCGCGACTCCGAGGTGCGTTAAGTGCCTCGAGTCACACCCCACGAAGGAGTGCTCTCGAACTCGAGACACATTCACCCCTCCGGCCTGTGTACTGTGTGGCCAAATCGGCCACACGGCCATCTATAAAGGTTGCCCACGAGCACCGAAGCCCAAACCCTCTTGTTAGAAGAAGGGCAAGGGCCCGGTGTCCAATAAAGCACCTAAAGCCCCCCCCCCGCCCACTGCGGCGAACTTCCCCGCCTTACCAAAGGCGAACCACTCCGCCCCCAAACCGGCTCCACAACCGGTATGGACGAAGCCTTCACCAAAGGCTTCCGTCTCACCTCCCAAAACTGCTCCTGTTTCTTCATCTTTAGCCGATGACATGAATACAGTTCTCAACTTGATTCGTGGAATCGACATAGATGAAATCACCACCGTAGCGGCTAAGCTCCGCTGCGCTTCGTCCACACAGGAACGCCTTCTGGCGCTGTGTGAACACGAAGCGTTACTAAGTGCCTTATCATAAGCACTAACAACATGTTAGGTTTCCCAAACCTCCCACATCCCGTCCTTTGACCGACCTGGACTTCCTCACGAGACCCAGTAGGCCAAATCCATCCCCATCATAACGACCCTTCAGGTCAACCCACTCTATCCTCTCGACCTGACATCCCTTCAGGATGAAGGCCACACATGAGTATCAAATAGCACCCTTCTGGTGGTATGTGATGCCGCCCTCCATACGCCGACCCTTCAGGTCACACCCCCGTCCGATCCGGCTGATCGTTCCCCTTCAGGGAGTCAGCTGTATTCTCGACGTCACTATTCATGTATATGTTTAGGGACGTCTGCGCCGCCCCCCCATTGAGGGGGGGTGGTCGCTCCGTTGAAGGTTCGTTGCCTCCGGGCGTGTAACCATTAGTCCAAGGCGGTGTTTAGTCAGTAGGAGTCTGACATAACCCTCACAGCCGGCTGTGTTGGTATCCAATGAAGGATTCACCGCCTCCTTCCTCCGTTGATGGGAAGGTGGTTCCGAGCCCTTAAGGTTGAGAACCCAAAAAAAAAAAAAGTCAATAAAACATTCCATCGGAAGGATGGAACCTTCTACGGAGTTTTACTACCCGACGACAAGCAAGCCTACGACCCGATCTGAGTTGCCAAATCTGTATTAAAACTTCTCGGTCTCCCCTATGAATATGTTAAGACTGATGAAATTAATTTTGTGAAAGTTATGTTCAAGCTAACCTGTGATGGAGATGTTGGCAATCTTGCCGAGCAACATGACGGCGTCTACATCGATCCTGAAGTTGCCGTCATAGGCGAGGTCCAGGCGGAGATCTAAGGACCTGAGCCGCGCTCCGTCCTCCTCTAGTTCGCCGCTTAACAGCCGAAGGTTCGTGATGATAGGGAACTCGGAGCCAACTTCCAGAGAACGGAGCTGAAGTGAGAAAAACAGAATAAAGTTTTATAAGAATTTAATAGTAGGACCGAGTTTATGGTTTTGTGGAGTAATTTTCAATTGGCGCTTTTGTATAGAATGTGTAAGTAAGTGATCATTTTTATTGAGAAATTAAAAAAGGTTTAGAGAGAAATATGGCATTGCTGAGTTTCGTGTGACTTCTTTTCGGTAATAACCCACTAATTGGAAAGGTTTTATAAAACATAATACTGTAAGTATTGTAGTAGTGTTCTGGAAGATATAGGCATATACAAAACAGTATGACAAGGGAACATTATTTATATTGCTTCGGAAACCGATACATAGACTTTACCTACTCTACAAAAAAGTAAAAGTACATACGATTGCATGTCGGATTACCACAATACGTCAAATTTCCGCAATTTATCTAAAAGTCTCCCCCAAAGCATCAATGTTTAAAGTCAAGTGGAGAAATTTGACAGATTTGTATAACCTCACGTGCTTTTGACTGTATATTTTCTATATATGTACACTAGACCAGACTACACTTTCACAGATATGCGTACAAGTAAACTAGTCGGCGACCATGAAGTGCTTCAAATATACTAACAGTTAATGACTCGAAGATCTTCCCAGACGAGGTTTTAGCTAGTAGCTCCGCCAACTCCGTGGCCATGCGGCGTCGAAGCCAGCGCGTGTCAGCTGTACTCTGTTGGAATATGAACTGCAGCATGGCGTTTAAGGCGCCTTCCGGTGTACTGCCTGCTCCACGGGTTAATTCATTTAGTATTTCCTGACGAATAAAATAAATATAATTAATCATTTGACAACGTAACTCAGTACATACAAATGTAAGTATTGTATTGTGGACCATTTAAGGTCATGTTCCTTCGAAGGCCAACCATAAAAACAATCATAGTTATTGTCATATGATGATGACAAATTCCTTCCACTTACACTAATCTCTATAAACTTAAGGTCACAGAAAAACCGGCAAGCTAGTCGTGTCGCTATTTTGATGGTGAGGTACCTCGCTTCTTAAACTTCGGGCGTCGACGTTAAAATTGTAATTCTTGCACACAGCGACAGGTATTTTTTTATGTAAATAGCCTATTATAATATTATTTTTTGTTTTATAAATAATCGTGTAAGGATTTCATGTGTAACTAAAGAATATATAATGATTTTTATTCCATTTCAGTTAAAATATCGTTAGGTTTTTCTATGAAGGCCGGTGGTTCCTTGTTAGGCCATGAAAAATTTGACTTTGCCCGTGTATTTATTTGGTCTTGTTTTTAGTAAATATGAACACTTTGTTTTTAGTAATAAATACATAAAGAAAAGTTATTACTTTTATTATTATTAAAAATTATTTGATTAAAGATATATATATATAAGAATCGAACAGATGATTCGATGTAAACAAAGAATCTAATCTTTTCCCTTTATAATATTAGTATAGATTAAAAAAGCTTTGCATAGATAATGATTGTTAGTTTGGTCTTCTTAGAAAGATTTTCGCCTTGCAAAGAACGGACCCTGTGAGGTGGCCATTAAGGGTGTCAATTTAATTAAACACTTTGTTTTATTATGAACTTGGAAATTGTTTTCAAGCGTTAGTTATAAGTTGTTTTCATTTAATCCGTAAATAAACCAAGAAAAACTGTTTATTCGTTAGTGTGGCCTTCCATGGTCCACCCACCTTATAAGATCGATAATAATTGTGAATGCTATTGAGTGGATAGATAAACAATTCATTAATCTCATACATCACCACCAGCCCTTTTACGTCCCCACTGCAGGGGCTCAGGCCTTCCTTATGGATGGTTAAGGAGGATGGGCCATAACCCTCCACGCTGGCCCAATGCGGATTGGAGGGTATTAACGACTGCAA